AGGGAGATTATGTCTGGGCAAGACCGCGAGAACTTGTCTAGGCTAATCATTCTAATTCTGCCCCCTTGKGGGTTTTCTTCGATTCAGGCGTTATTGCTTGAGGATGCCATTACTTGAGGCTCAGAGAACGGGTGATAACTTAGCTTTTGTGTAGCGGTTCCCACAGATGGTGCCAATTGATGTTGTGTGATCTGGCGACTCTCACATGTCTGATGACTCGGATGCCGAATTGGATACTTGCCTTGTTGGTGGCCGAGTTGAGTTGGCCTAAGCTAAGGCTGGTCGAGCTGTGCTGTTCTACAAGAGAGAAAGAGAGAGTTAGAGAGCTGCAAGAACTAAATTGCGCATACCTTCTCTCAGAAGAATGGTGCCTTTATATAGGTGTGAGGGATTAAAAACCTCTTGTAATGGGTCCTAGATTCCCGAAGAGTCATTTCCTCTAAGTTGGGAGAGAATATCTCCGTCGGTTATGTATGGTTATGTAATCTGCACAGAGAGCTGAGGTCCGTCTGATCGAATCTGATGCGGGTGATGCAGGTAGGTTGGCCTAACGGTTGAGCATTATTACTTTGGAGAACTTGGCCTTGATAACGGATCTATGTAATAGGTTGACGAGCATGCTTTGTAGGTTGTCACTTATACCTTAGTTCGGTCAATCTCCAAAGGAGGTCGCTCCTTAAGCGGAGGTCCTTTAGGTCGGCCAGGCCGAGGTACTTTAGGTCGGTCATAGGTGAGGTGCTACTAGCCGACCTACTAGGGTGATCTGCTTACTCAATGCTGAGGTGTCACTTGGATGCCATGTGTTACGCTGTTATTCGGAGGTAGGTCGCCAGGTCTCTAGTAGGTCTCCGAAGGTAGGTTGCCAAGTCGGTGGAGGTTGGTCGCCAGGTCTCTAGTAGGTGTCTAGAGGTAGGTCGCTAGGTTGGCGAAGGTTGATCGCCAGGCCTCCAGTAGGTCTTCGGAGGTAGGTTGCTAGGTTGGCGGAGGTTGGTCGCCAGGTCAACGGAGGTAGGTCGCCATGTCTCTAGTAGATCTTCAAAGGTAGGTTTCTAGTTGGGGCTCCATCATTTTTGCTAAGGCATACGTGGTGCGGGGTGTCATCCAACTGTTCTGAGATGTCACGTGTCATGATGCCAGTGGTGGGCCAAATCTGCCCTCATCAATATGTAACACATTAACTGGGGGTTAAGACTTCAGAATGGGATGACAGAATAGCAATTGGACTTGATTTCAGAATGGGATGACAGGGGGGACCCCCTCTCTAGCTAATGAGTGCGTGAGATGGGTTGAAGAGAAGTTTCAAATGAGATTGGTTACCTTGCTTGAGTTTAAAAACTGACCTAGAGGCCAAGCAATTTTTGCCTTCGGGTCACGGGTCACTGGTTCGACCGACTGGGTTGAACAATTTAGACCTTGCCATGT